CACGCAATGCAAGGTCAACCGCTGGATAGTTGTTGAGGCAGGGCGCGGTGAATATTGTAAGAATATGAATGCATGCTCAAGTGTACGCGCGCATAAAGCAGGATATACTCATATAATATTGCAAACATGTTTGTTCAATTGCATATATGCGTCCAGGCACATCAATACATTTGCTTTAAGACATAACCGCTCATGCAATCCGTACGCAGACACATACCATAAACTCATGCTCGTATAAATATACAGACCCATATCCAATCGAAGGCGTTTGCTTACGTACATCCATGCCAATCGCTCGAACTGTGCACAACCAGTCAGAGTGCACTTACCATGATACAGAGCGTGATGCAGTAACTCCACACGAGTATAAAGAATCCGGCTGGATTAAATAAACACGTCTGTCCGATGTAACGCAAGCGATACTTAATGCCCGCCAACCCCTGAAAGGCGTCGATCTTTTTATCCCTATTTCGCCTTCGTCTTAAACCGGTACGCATACCCGGTCCATTCTGTCCAGGTGCCGTTTCGGTACTCATACCTGCATCACTGGCTCTGTGTACAAAGCTCTGCGACATGTCTGGCGAGCCTGAGATTTAACACGTGATGTGCACAAGATAAGTATATGAACACAGATTCATGTGATAAATTTGAGAGTTTGTGAAGATATATTTGTGTAGATGCAGATTTTGAATACACATGAAAATACAGATTTGAAATAAATATTGATAAGTCCAAGGACGCTTAGGTTTGACGTCCATGGCATGTGTGAAAGCTGTATATATCAAGATAAAATTAAATGTAATCCATTTTGGGAGATATGAAGATATACGTATGAAGATACAGATATTGAATATACATATGAAAGTATAGATATAGTACATACATTAACAATTTAGATACATATAGGACGGGCGTGCAAAAAAAAAATGGAAGTACGCAATATAGGTATAAAATCAAGTATAAAATATACACATAGAAGTTCGAATATAACCTGAACATGCACAGGTGCAAAAGGCCACGAGGTGGCTGTGTGGGGCCGACATGTATTGGAATCGTGATACTGCAACTAAAGTGCAGTGGGTGTGTATGGTGTGCACGAGTGGTAGGCGATCATGTGGGAGTACTATTGCACTACGATCAACTACAAGCATTTAGTTTACACGTGCTATCAGTAGGCGATAGAGTGAGGCTCACAAAGACCTCGCCTACAGTGGGAGCATATTTCGTATAGATCTCTACAGCTTAAATATAAATCTTCTCCCAAACAACCCATATGCCACGATCATCAAGATCCTTAACCGGTCGTGCAGTGTTGAAATCTTCAGGTCTCGAATAGTATAACGATATACATCTCTTTACGATGCAAAACATGGGCGACCACTCCGAAACACACAACGCATCAAACCCAGAGAATAAACTTGAGTAGAGTAACAATCCGATATAAACGAGAAATCAGACATGTGAGGTTCACAATATAAAAACAACCCAAAAATCGGGTGATATCGCATCCCACCGTTTGCACTATCATCTGTCAATAGACCCCGAGGTATGCGCATGATACCAACGTCCCTAGGCAAATATAGTCCAGAGCGTGCCGTTTGCATGCTAACATTCAAAGTGACAACGACTGCTCACATATATATATATATATATATATATGTATGTATGTATACATAATATATATTTATATATATATATGTATATATACATAACATGTATTTATATATATGAATATATATATATATATGTATATATATATATGTAATAAAAATATGTATATATATATATATG